CCTTGAATGATATGAATAGAGCTTGTGTTGTCTTATAAAGATGCTGGTAAATTTTGAATGAGTAGTAACTGCTGGCCCTGCATAAGATTAATGTTGGTAGAAATAAAATCCCCACCCCCTTTTTTTCCCCCTTTTTTTGTGCTTAAACTATCATTTTAAAATCATACCACAATCTTTGTACTACCCTGTATCGGCCTTTAGTTTGGGAGGAGAAGAGGCACTGAAAGCCAGTCAGACTATTCTGCATTGCTTTGTTGTACATCTAACAATTTAAGCATGCTGATTGGAGGAGAGACCACAAAGATGACCCTGACTAAGCTATATTGCTGTAACTGCAGTGGAGGAAAGTAAATAGTCAGGGCATTGTACAGTGTATGGTGGATATGAACGTATGCTTAACCCCTCCCAGAATGATATATTAACTGAAAGCAGAGACCTTGTAGAATAAAATGGTGGTAGTTGCAATTGCATGGTATTAGCGTAACTTTATCAAACCCAAATGTTTAGTACAAAAATTAACTTTATTTTCGTGCACAACAAACACAATACATTGCCCATTTTGTTGTCAAATATAAAAGATGATATTGGACTGAGTAAATGGATAGCAAACCTGTCAAGCTTCAAAATTGCGTGTGCCTGTGCAATGGCGGAAAACTACAGTACCCAAAATTGTCCCTATGCAATGCTTTCAAATCCTTTACAGGTCATCACTTCACAGTTAACCACAAATAATGGCCCTGGAATTACCACTCTCACTCAGGTGTGCGCAACAATACCCGACATGTGGCACTGTTGTTTTTGTATGTAGGTGCACCCGAGGTGATCTTTCTGCATTTATATGCATATGCACATTCATATATAAATAACCTGTCCAAGCTTTGATATGTTTTATGCCTCTTGAAAGTTTTGCTGCATTCCGGCACATAAACATCTCTGTATGACTTTCTTTTATCTCCATGGATCATGCACGTATCACGATCTAACGTCCTTCTGTTCTGTTTTATGTTTGTTGTGTAGCCCCCTATGGAACTCTCCAGCCCGGCACAGCTGTCTTCCTGGCTGTGTAGATAAACACAAAGCCTTCACTGAGCCTAAATGCTAGACTTGGTGAAATAAAATGTGATCCCGTATGTTTTTATTGTGTTAACTTTTAACCACGGTATAATTTCACTCTAAACTTAGTGTGAATTAATGTCCCTTGAATGCGGTTGTGTCCTGCAGCCACGTCATGGGAAATGAATCATATTTTATAGAATGATGTTTCAAAATTAGGGATTTATTTGGTACTGAAATATTTTATTCTGTATGCTAATTGCTGAGAAAAGTTATGCTGGTCACACAGTGAGATTTTGTTTCAGATTTGATCAGACAGTTTAATAGATTACCAGTGTGAGAGTCTACATGACTGGATGTAAATTTAAATAGAGGATTTAGATAGGCCCACAAACTTCAGAAGTCAAACTTAAAGGTGTGTGTGTGTCTTTGTCTATGAATATTAACTTTGGAAATGATTTAAAGATGCATACGTTAAGAACTCTGCTTGGTGCTGTTAACATAGAAAGAAACTATATAATATAAGCTGGGTCATCTTCATAGGTCACAAGTGGGATAATAGTAGTTCCAAACTGCCAAGTTGTGCCGTGTCATTTAGGCACAGGAATGGTACCTTTTGGTGCAGATTGTTTGCGAGTGGCAGCTAAGAAATATATTGCTAAATGGATTACTTAAAGTAGGGAATACACGGGATGAATTTCGGCCAGTTCTGATGAACCAGCCGAAATAAACACAGTGAGTTCTGCTGCTGCTGGCACCCTTCCGTCTGGTATCCCTTGATCAGCTGATCGAAGGAGCCAGTTGGAAATTTCTTGGCTGAATGGAGCTAGCAGTCAATCAGCCGTTTAGGTATCCTGACAGTGGCTGGTGGTTGCTTTCATAATACAATGCAAATGGCATAGGATTCGCCCATCAACTCTCGTAAGGGTTGATGGAGGAATCTGTTCTGTTTGTGTTCATTCAGCCTGTGGGTAGAACAAAAAAAATAGAAATGTGTATAGCCACCCAGCTTTAGCATCAGAAGTTAGGTTCGTTTTAAATGAAGCTTAACTGGAGCCAGAAACCCCCTTTTTTTTTTTTTTTAATACAGTGGAGGGGGTCTAGAATCTTTTGGAAGACTTTTATTACTGTTACCTACGGAGTGAGGTTAAGGAGAGTATTCATTTAAAAATTGCAGAGCCGTTAATTCTGCGAGAGGCCGCGTACCTTCTGTGCGAATGGAGGCAAAATACTAACGTTCTTAGTATATTTTCTTTCCAAGTTGAAGGTAATGGCAAGAAAATACTGCATTATGGCCAATAGATGGAGCTGAGGAACTTAGGAAGTAAACGCTTATTTCCTATGCTCCTCTGCTCTAGTAATGTCTGATCTTGGTATTTGATCATGTTCTCTTTCACTGTAAACACTCAATATACATTTTAAGATTAAAAAATATTGAGGGGTTTTCAGAGTTGAGTAATAGTTTTGCTGTTCATACTGCTGCAGTTCAGCCAATTTGAATGTAAAAGCTTGCCTTGTTTTAGTCTTTTCATCCATTACACAACTGTTTCATTTTTGGAAGTTAGTGTGTCGAAATAGTGTTATCAAACATTGTTCAAAGTAGACAGTTTAACAAGAAAAAAAATATGTCAAAAAGCATCAAAGCGAAACTGATGTCCCTATTGAGGAAAGTTCTTTCTCTTTCTAGTTCACCTGCATTGGATGTAATGAATCATGTCAGGTTTATATGATGGAAATTCTCTGAAAGTAAAACCGCAATAGAAAGTATTTTCATACGTTGAGATCTGGTTGTGGTCACGTCCATAGAAATTTAGTGACCATAAGATATTTATTTATTCCAGGTATTTATATAGCGCTGCCGCTTTATGCAGTGCTTTACATAGTTGCACATTCACATCAGTCCCTACCCTCGAGGAGCTTACAATCTAAGGTCCCTATATCACATGCATACATATGAGGGCCGATTTTAGCCAATTAACCTTCAAGCATGTCTTTGGAGTGTGGGAGGAAACTCGAGTACCCGGAGGAATCTCCCTACGCAAGCATAGGGAGAGCATGAAAACTCTCGTGTGCTGCAAGGCAGAAGTTCTAACCACTACGCCGCTGAGATATTGCCAAGAACAATTTGATACAGTGTTACAACTGTTTTTTTTTCCTGTGGTGAAAATACATTGCAACCTTTTTATAACAAGATCTTTTGATGCTGCTCTAAATAAAGTGATTGGATTTTGGCCGTTTTCCTATGGTAGAAATAAAGCGTTTGATATGATGAGGTGTGGGGGCGGAATCTGTTTACAAGCTTTTGAGTGGGATATTCTAAGGTGATGCGTCCTTCCTATATGAAATATTGATGGTGTGGTGTCTAGTATGATGCTCAGTAGTGAGGTTACTGTACATGAGTCTGGATGACAGAATTACAAAGTCGGTTTGCTTTGTCGCAAGTCCTCTGGTGCAGATAAAATGAAAAGAAATCTAGTCAAATGGTTGAATTCCCCAACAGTGTAGCTCCCTGATGAGTAAAAGGGGGTCTAGAATCTTTTGGAAGACTTTTATTACTGTTACCTACGGAGTGAGGTTAAGGAGAGTATTCATTTAAAAATTGCAGAGCCGTTAATTCTGCGAGAGGCCGCGTACCTTCTGTGCGAATGGAGGCAAAATACTAACGTTCTTAGTATATTTTCTTTCCAAGTTGAAGGTAATGGCAAGAAAATACTGCATTATGGCCAATAGATGGAGCTGAGGAACTTAGGAAGTAAACGCTTATTTCCTATGCTCCTCTGCTCTAGTAATGTCTGATCTTGGTATTTGATCATGTTCTCTTTCACTGTAAACACTCAATATACATTTTAAGATTAAAAAATATTGAGGGGTTTTCAGAGTTGAGTAATAGTTTTGCTGTTCATACTGCTGCAGTTCAGCCAATTTGAATGTAAAAGCTTGCCTTGTTTTAGTCTTTTCATCCATTACACAACTGTTTCATTTTTGGAAGTTAGTGTGTCGAAATAGTGTTATCAAACATTGTTCAAAGTAGACAGTTTAACAAGAAAAAAAATATGTCAAAAAGCATCAAAGCGAAACTGATGTCCCTATTGAGGAAAGTTCTTTCTCTTTCTAGTTCACCTGCATTGGATGTAATGAATCATGTCAGGTTTATATGATGGAAATTCTCTGAAAGTAAAACCGCAATAGAAAGTATTTTCATACGTTGAGATCTGGTTGTGGTCACGTCCATAGAAATTTAGTGACCATAAGATATTTATTTATTCCAGGTATTTATATAGCGCTGCCGCTTTATGCAGTGCTTTACATAGTTGCACATTCACATCAGTCCCTACCCTCGAGGAGCTTACAATCTAAGGTCCCTATATCACATGCATACATATGAGGGCCGATTTTAGCCAATTAACCTTCAAGCATGTCTTTGGAGTGTGGGAGGAAACTCGAGTACCCGGAGGAATCTCCCTACGCAAGCATAGGGAGAGCATGAAAACTCTCGTGTGCTGCAAGGCAGAAGTTCTAACCACTACGCCGCTGAGATATTGCCAAGAACAATTTGATACAGTGTTACAACTGTTTTTTTTTCCTGTGGTGAAAATACATTGCAACCTTTTTATAACAAGATCTTTTGATGCTGCTCTAAATAAAGTGATTGGATTTTGGCCGTTTTCCTATGGTAGAAATAAAGCGTTTGATATGATGAGGTGTGGGGGCGGAATCTGTTTACAAGCTTTTGAGTGGGATATTCTAAGGTGATGCGTCCTTCCTATATGAAATATTGATGGTGTGGTGTCTAGTATGATGCTCAGTAGTGAGGTTACTGTACATGAGTCTGGATGACAGAATTACAAAGTCGGTTTGCTTTGTCGCAAGTCCTCTGGTGCAGATAAAATGAAAAGAAATCTAGTCAAATGGTTGAATTCCCCAACAGTGTAGCTCCCTGATGAGTAATGTTACATTGTTGGTTTTTTTTTGTCCAGGTGCGCCAGAGGTTTCCTGCATGGCCGTGCCAAAGAGTAGTCTTTTGCAGTACAGCATCGCCCTCTGATGGTGAGTAGATATATGTGCATGTTGAATGGCAGCTAGCTTATTAGAACGTTTTCACCAGGCTTTGAGTAGCAATCTGCAAGCCTGTAAACTTTTTATTTCTGTTCAATTTTAAATACTTGTTTACTAAATAGTTGAAAAATTCTCATTGCTGCAGTTCCTTTATTTGATTCTTATAGATAATTTTATGTTTCTATGTTACATAATTGCCACATGCAGACAGGTAAAAAAAAAAAGATATATCTATCTATCTATATAGTGAAGTAAAGTGCTAGTGAAGCTTTGGTTCCCCTTTTGTAAATGCATTCAATCTTATTTTTAAGGTAGATTGCAGGGAAGAGAGCGAGAAGTCACAGATTTAATAAAGAAATGGAATTGGGCCTCTTTGACACGGACCGATCAGGAGAGGATCCGCTGTGACATCCATTTCCGTACAGTTTTTTCCTCCGCCTTGCGATGGAGGAAAAATCAGAAATTGCTGGACCCCATGTTGGTTTATGGGCAATCTGATGTAAACAGACATGTCCGTTTACATCAGATTACCCACAATCGGGCAAAATCTGGTTTGGTGAAACGGATGTCTGATCTGTCTGTTTCTCCGAACCGGGCCAGAGCCTGGGGTAACTAGGTGTAAACTGACGCTAGTCCATTTACACGCGCCTGCCCATAGACTTGCATTAGGCATCCAATCGGGTTCACCTGAAAAACTGACAGGCGTACCTTATCAGACCAGCTGTGTGAAAGGGGCCTTAGGCGGACCCAATCGGATGCCCAATGCAAGTCTATGGGCAGCCGTGTATAAACGGACAAGCGGCAGGTTACACCCAAATACCCCTGGCCTCGGCCGACTCCAGAGAAACACTGGTCAGAGATCTGTTTCACCAGGCTGGATCGGGGGTAATCTGATGTCAATGGACATGTGTCCATTGACATCAGATTCCCCATAGACCAACATGGGGTCTGGCAGTTTCCATTTTTTCCCCCTCCATCGCAAGGTGGAGGAATAAACTGTATGGACACGGTTGTCACAGCGGTGACATCCATTCCGTACTGCTTTGATCAGGAGGCGCTCTGTGCACGGATCATCTCCTGATCAGCTCGTGTGAAAAGGGCCTAAATTTTATAACTTGCTCAGAGAAATGGTAATTATTTGGCAAAAAGATATGAAACGGACAACTGGACTCCTTAAATATGCCGTAAAGATTTCCAAGGAGTCGCAGACTGATCTGCATTTAAGCTGCTCCCTTTTGCAAAGACAGTACATGCGTTTGTAGTACTATTTAGTAGTTTAAATCAATACGCTACTTTTAAATGAAACTACTATAATTCATCATTGACATACTGGAAGCAAAAGTGACATGCAATATTATCTAGTCAAAGACTTGCTGCCTACACTGATATGGTGTGTTGTTTGTTTGTTTTTTTGCATCAGAGCCGTACTTGTTGCCTCAGTAGAAAAAAAAGGTACTTCCTTGGTCCTGACTAACAGAAATAAAATGTGTTGAACGCCAGTAAGCCACTATACAGTCACTTTACACAGGGAGAGTTGCCAGTTACATTGCTGACTCTTTCACTCATTTTATATGCTGCTTAAAGTGGACCTTTACCCCCTTTGACTAAAAAGAAGAAAACTAAAATCACATCAGCATACAGTTCTGCATGCTGATATGAAATTATCTTACATTCATTAGCTAAACAAAAATATTTCTATTTTGCTTACAATTTCTTTTTTTACACTTCCTGGTCCACTTTGGCATTGCATGCTGGTTACATCAGCAGTTCATTGCTGGGAAATTTCATCTGTGATCTCAGGGAAAGGCATTTTCCTCCCCTGAGATGATGTGCATGGTCGCATATCCTAGTCACTCGCCCTTAGTTAAAATAGCCACTGTCAGAAGACTGGGAAAGAAAAGAAAAATAAGGTATGCAAAAAATAAAAAAGCTTGCAATTATCTAGAAGTATCTGCTTGTAGATTGTCATTACTAAATATTTCTAAAGATGCCTTTGTTATTTTGAAGATATGGGTAATGTTTCTCTTTAGGGCGATTTTATGTGACTGACGGGACCTTGCTTGCATTTTTGGATAAAATTTGGAAAATCTTAACTGTCCAGCTGACTCCTGTTGTGTTTTATTGCCTTGAGATCTATCCGCCGCAAGTGATTTACTTTTTTTTCTGTTTCTTACTAGATGTTTCTGTGCTTTACCAAAACGGGTTGCCTGTGATAACCATTAGCCTCCCATCACGGCTGGAGCAATGCAGATTCACTTTGAAGCCTCTTTCCGATACAGTAGGAGTATTCCTACAGCAGGTACAGGCAGAAGACCGAGGAATAGACAGGGTGGCAATCCACTCCATAGGTATGTAAGTGGGGATCTGTGATGGCTTCAACTTGCTTTTCTGCTTAATTGTCACTGTAAAATTATAACCAGAATAATATGTCCTCTGTCTATGTGCTCTTTAAAATTTTTGCTGGGTGCGTTTAAAATTCTTAAGAGTGTATGCAGTTATCCTCAAATTCATAAAGGGCCACTTCAGCCAGCATGGATTTTATTTTACTTGGATAGATGGTATTAAATGAGGAAATCACCCACTGACTTTTAATATCTAGGGAACAGCAGTGGTGGAATCTTACGATAGTCCTATCAACCGATTCCCACTCTTCTGGCAACAAGTAGGTTCTTGCGTGCTCCTGACTTTACTGGGGTACTAATTTTGAATAGGCATATTTAAGCTATGCTTATTTAAGTTCTGAGTAATTCTAATATGTACTTTGCAGATCTTTTGACAAATACCCCTTATTGGGGGGTTTCAGGTGTCACACAGTAATTGCTCCCTCAGAACACCTAGGAGTATTAGACTTTTAGTTCTGGCATATGAAGCACCTTTTAATTGGCTTCATGAGGGTACTGACTTACAACTTCAGCCAGTTCTTTGTGGTAAATGCATGCAAACAAAATATCCCATAGGAGAAAAGAATGCTAGATCAACCTGCTTGATCACCAATACCGCCCCCCTCCCCTTATCAACCGGGTCAACCATGCTTGATCACAAATACCCCACGTTATCACCCGGGTCAACCTGGGACATCACCAACACCCCAACCCCATCACTCGGGTCAACCTACTTGATCAATTCCCTCCCTTATCACCGGTCAACCTAGCTCAGAAAAGGGTGTCAAACCAAAAGGTGGAAGAGTCCAAAGTGCCTTTCATTGTTCACAATTCAACTAAACGAAAAACAGCCAATCTATTTCAGGAGCAACAACACCCCCTTCATCAGGGTTTAGAATGGGATAGGGAATTGATTGGTCTCAAAAGATAAGAAACCCAAATGGATCTCTATATGATTTGATAAATCAAATTAGGGGTGGAATTGTAATTGGCAGCTGCTGTGTGAAATGTGTTCATTTGGAGTCTCTTCAGCATGAGGCTGCTTGGTTTGGCACTTAGTCAAAAGGGCAAGTCGGTGGGCAAACATTCAGTAGCAGTCATGTAATTATATATATTTTTTTTTAACACATTTGATGAGTCATTGCTGTAATCCTGACTGCTGCTTAAAGCTTCATTTATGGTTGGTTAGGTTATGAGTACCTCTCTTGCTGCAGTGTATTTGGTCTTATATAGATAATGATGTGGTTTTTCTTCACTTTCAGATGGAGAACGTATAGCCTCTTCCACAAGTATAGAAGTTCTTCTATTAGATGATTTTAAATTGACTATTAATGATAGAAACTATCACGTGCGGCCGCCAAAACAAGGTACGGTGTGTTAAAGAACAGTTCATTAAACCCTAGGTTGCTCCTCTTTCACATATATAACATTACTTTTGACCTTTCTGCCTTGTTTTGCTGCATGCTCAGAACTTTTAAGCCATGAAGATGCAACGACAATGAATGACTTGAAGACCCTTGTACAGCAGTTGTACAGCTCTATGCGAATTGAAGAACACCAGCTCAGCAAGGAACAAGAGCTCTTTTGTCGCCTAGAGGCCCTTCAAGAACAGCTTGAGCCTCTTGAAAAGGTAGACAAAAAGAAAATCTGTATTTTACCGGCCATGTTGTCTATCCTGGGCAGTTTTAAAACTATTTGAAAATCTAAATGTTTGCAGTAATGTACACTAGGCATGTGCACCAGCAAAAAATTCGTATTGATTTGGATTTTGCGTTATTTCATTTTTCGGGTTTCGAAACTTAATTCGTTTTGGGATCCGGATGAAATTCGTTAGCGGTATTCTATACGAATTGTCTGTTAGTTTTCGGTTCGTTCGGTGCAGCAAAGTGACATTAAAAAAAAAAATTTTGTCCAAAAGTATTTATGAAAAGTATTATGACACCTCGGCTCACAGACCCGAATAGCATTTGGAAGCTCCCGAATGCTATATTGTATTTGGCAGCTGAGAATATCAAATGGGCGGAGTGAGCCGTGACGTCACGGCTCGCTCCACCATCTGTTTACTTTTGCGCCCAATGTCATTTTGCGGCGAGTTTTCGTCAGGTTCGGACGGTTGTCATGTGGCGGGACTTGTTTTTTTATTTCGACGGGCGTCGTGCATCGTGATTTGACGCTGGATTACATCGATGGAGCCATTTTTTATTTAAGTGAATTGTCAAAAATGGACTCGAGCGATTTTCGGGGGGCTGGGGGGGTTCCTCAAAATTCCAATCAGACTTAAAGGGTCTGGTATAGATTTTGGGGGGAACTCCACGCACTTTTTTTTTTTACTTGATGGGGGGAGGGGTGTGTATCTCCCTCCTAACATTCCTACCAGACCTAAAGGGTCTGGTATGAATTGGGGGAGAACCTCACACTTTTTTTTTTTCTTCCTCTTCTGCAGACTGTAAAAAAACAAAACATTTTCTCAAATGTCACTTTGCTGCAACGAACAATACGAAACAACCATTCGTACAGACTACCACTTAAAAATTTCAGAATTGGAAATTCGGATTTGTTTGCATTTGTTATATCTCTAATTCGGAATTCAAATGCATGCGAATTTCCGAAATTCCGTCCGCTAGCGAGATTTCTCAATTTCCTGTGCTGGAGACGCCACAAGAAATGAGAGAAAATCTCTCCGTGAATGGAATTCTCATTCTAAAAAGTGCTTTGTCCTTAGCAACATTCATCCTTGCCTTCATGTTCAATCTGGAAAAAGCTGTTATCTGACTGCTGTTGGCAACACCTGCACTAATTTGTTCTACCAGTTATATAAATGAGATCCACATTTCATACAACCGTGCATAAGGAAGACACATAGCCCAGCATCCAGGAGTATGTAGGTGCTAGGGCATACTCATTACACAGAGGGACAAACTGGAAGCACATTGGAAGGTTAGGTTTAAAAAGGAACCACCAATGTAATGTCTCCTAGAACAGTTACTTTTAAAACGTGCAACTGTCAAGGTTGCCAGGGTGCTTATTTCACCTCTCAACCGAACTTTCAAGCCTTCAAATGCCTGGTGTCATAGCTGATCACGTGCAGCACCATGGCAACTTCAATCCAAATAGAGGCTAAGATGGCACCTTTCTTGGCAGTAAGGGATAGGAGGTTGCAGTTCCAAATTAAATGTTGGTACCTACAGCTAAACTATAGTCATCTAGGAAATGTAATACAGCTGTACAATCTTTTAAATAATAACTTTAATTTCTTGCATTGGTACCGGCTTTCTTCTCTGTGTAAGAATTGGCTCCTGTTTGGCTGAAGAGTGGTAATACAGGCGCAGGCCTTGGAGGTATTTAGTGGCTATGTTGTTCTGTCTTAAGGTGCCCATACACTGCTCGATTCTCGTACGAGAATCGGGCGAAATCCCGCGATCGTACGAGAATCGAGCAGTGTGAACTAAGACGTACGACCGTTTCTACTGTACGGTCGCACGTCTTTTGTTGAGCCAACATGTTCGATTCTCGGCGGGTTTCTAGCCTGCTCGCCCGATAGCTGCGGAATGGGCCAGTGTGCGCACGCGCACACTGCCCGTTCTGCATTGACGTCATCGGAAGCCCGCCCCTCAGCTGGGCGGGCTTTCGATGATCGCAAGTACGATCTGCCCGTCCAAGGTGGGCAGATCGTACGGGCTTTCAAGAAGCATACGACCATCGCAAGACAAAAGTCTTGCGATGGTCGTAAGGTGTATGGGCACCTTTTATAGGTGCTGCTGTCCACAGTAATCAGACATTCACCTACTGCACTGCATGTGCTGTCAGTATGGGAATCTGCAAGGGATTTTAATTGCAAATCCTTGGAATTCACACACAATTAATATGTATCACAGCATAAGAAATATAACTATGTTGGGTTGACTATGAATCAGCTTAAATGGTATATGCAGGACAACAGCCAGCTCCTGAAGTATTCCCTCCCTCTTAGTTGAAGTGAGCTCCCAGTTGTGGCCTCCTCCTCCCCCGTCCGTTCCTCCAGTCAACTAAACTGCGTGGAGTGATGACTGACTGTCACTGATCTCTGCAGGGAGAGGAACGGGAAGACAGTGATCGGCGGTATGTGTTCGCCGACTTCCCGATCAATAGAGCTGACCTGTGACAGCTTCAATGTCACAGGTCAGCTTGAACTATGGGGATGAGTGTTCACTCACCCCATAATTCTCCTTTAAGGCTTGTGTATATTGGCTTTCATGCTTCTGACTTGTTTTTGAAGCAGTTTGGATTGATCTTTGAACACAATGTATGAATTTCTAATCGGAGCAGTGTTGTCTTGCATATATATGCCAGATGCATAAGTCTCCAGTTTGTATGTTCAGCTCTGTCCACACAAAAAAAACTAGAAGCTGTTTACACATTTTAACCAAAAATTATAATAAAAAATGTCATGTTTTCCAATTGTAGGTTCGACTTCAGATTGCTCGACGAGCAGCGAAGAAGACAAGATGGGCTCAGTGGGGAATGCTAGCGTATATGTCTGTACAGTTTGGAGTCTTTGCTCGTTTGACGTGGTGGGAATACTCTTGGGATATCATGGAGCCAGTCACTTACTTTGTCACATATGGCACAGGCATAGCAGGGTGTGCCTATTATATCCTGACGGGCAGGGTAAGCATAACATCTCATTGAATAGTGCCGATACCCTAATAAATATCATGCTGTTCATGGCCTCTGCCTGTAGTGTAGATGCTGTCTGTTAAAATACAACTAAGTGGCCCTGTATGAAAGCCTAACTAAACAGGTCCAAAGTCCAGTTACTGTGGGATGCACAGGCTTTATAAAGAAAAAAAACTTAATTACCCTCCCTGGCTAAGCCAAACCCTCCTTTTATTAGTGTCTCACACACTCCACCCTACCAGACACCGCAGCTCATAGTGGGAGGGTTTCAGCAACAGGCAGTGCTGTCAATCCAGAAAGCAGTGGGCAGGAACAGGTGAAGTCAGGTGCCGATTACCAACCTACAGGATTGTGAATCAGTAGTGACCATGCTGATAGCCATGCCATTTGCAAGGCTTTTCTTCCCACTGTAGTCATGCTGGCCCAGCTTACATGAGAGTGGCAACTCTGTTCTGAATTTAGGAGCAGTGCACCATTGTTGCTACACCATCACAGGAAGCTGCATTAGATGGATGTCAGTGGCAGGATCAACAGTTTTTGAGACTTTGCAGGGGGGCTAAGTGAAAACTATAAGTGTGTGTGCTTATTTTTTAATTGGAGGCCATAGTTCTAATATAATGTGTGCTATCTGGGATACTTGGGAACAGAAATGCTAATTATAAACAAACCTTTTATGTATGGTCATTTTAAAGCCTGCATGTGAACAGCTTATCTAAATGTTTTTTTATTTTGATTCATCATTGTCTCATATTCACCTTTTTATAAGTATGCATAAGGTTGCCACCATCTTAGTAGATAAACTAGCCATAAATATGACAAGCTAATGTATTGGCATAAATCATGCTCACTGTACTTGTACTTGATATTAGGGATGCACTGATATCGGTCTTTCGGTATCGACTACCTGTATTTTTTTTTTTCGTTACCTGCCAATACCGATACCGGAACTGCCATTAAGGAAGCCGAGCGGCGAGTCATTACTTCTGATTAGTCAGAAAGCCGGGCAGCGTGTAATGATTCGACGCCCGGCTTCCTGATTACCCGGGAAGCTGTCTCCATGCTCCCTATTCACCAGGTGATGAGGAAGCATGGAGTCTGCTTTCTGGCCAATCAGGAAGCTAGGGTACATGTAATGACTTTCTGCCTGCATTCCTGATTGGCCAGCTTCCCGACCAATCAGAAAGCCTGGGTGGTGAGACATTACATGCTGCCTGGCTTCCTGATTGGCCTGGGTAGCATGGAGCCGGCTTTCTGGCCAATCGGGAAGCTGGGGGCGAGTAATGACTCGCTGCCCTGCCTTCCGGATTGGCCCTCTTCCCGACTAATCGGGAAGCTGGGTGAAGAGTCATTACATGCCGTCCGGCTTCCTGATTTGCCGGGAAGCCAGCCCCATGCACCCTGGTGACGAGGGAGCACGGGCAGCGTGTAATGACTCGCTGCCAGGCTTCCTAATACCGGAAATGCCAGTATCGGGATTAGTATCGGGAGCATTTGGGCCAGTATGAGTACCAAACACGGTGCATGCCTACTTGATATAAATAAAATGTATGCAAATTCTATAACTTTTGAACGTTTTTGCTTTTTTTCTTTGTAGGAATATATGTACGTAGATGCCAGTGATAGACAGTTCTTACTTTTTTTCCATAAAGCGGCCAAAAAAGAAAGATTTGATGTTATAGAATATAATCGACTCAAGGATGCCATTGCTCGGGTATGATTTAAGATGGTTAACCTGCTTTGCATTGCTGTGTTTAGTAGAGGGAACATATACTGTATGATGAATTAAGTTATGCATTGCTTCTGTACACATTCTGGCTTATTTTTTCACATTATAGTTTGTTGACCATGTCCATGGTGATGGCTTGGGCCAATAAAAGCACCTTTATAACTTTGTAATGTAACATTGTTTTTATTCAGTTCTGACTACCGTGTATGTAACCACCAAATAATTCCTAGAATTGTCGTCATACAAATTTTGTGCCATCACAAGTTATTGATTGTATCATTCATAATGAACCTTCGGCCAACTTTCCTAATGCATATGTGTGAGTAGATAAAGGAAGGTTTCTCTGTCTTGCACCTTTCCTGGTTACCAAATGCCCTTGATCCGTTCTAGTTGTTTATGTAATGCTCTTTATGCTGAACATGGGGTTTAAAGGACCACTTTTTGGAAACCGATAACTGCATGTGATGTATTATCTGTAAAAATCATATTCCATTCTCAACATATACATTCAGATCAAGCTGTAGAGCAAAGTTATTATCTATTATTGCTGTCCCTGCATTTTTGTTGGTGGAATAGTGCGTTGTGTGTTGACCATTCCCTGACTCTGGTTCACAAATCTAGACTCGATCTCCTAGTCGAGTAGGGTCTCCTTTTGAACAGCCTTCTAGCTATCAGATGTAGGTGTACGACAACAGCAGGCAAATCTTTCAGCCTGTCCAGCTTTGTTTGTCTATATTATCGAATTTAGGTTAGTGTGTTGCTAAGGCTAGCAGTCCATTTTAGGGATGGAGGAGCATGCATATTCTGTACATAATTATAGTTTTGTTCCAACCCTGTCATTTTTTTGTTGAACAGCTTAAGCTACATGTAAAGCCAAGTAGAAAAAAAAAATACATTGAATACCATCATTGTGTGAATTCACCGCATAGTTATCAGCATACAGTGTATTTTGTGATGGTTATTGCAATGGGCAGTATAAAGGAACGCAAATGCACCACTTAGATATACTTTACATTAGGTACCATCTTTAGTACATTTTTGAATAGTTAATCTTAACCATTCGTAGCTGTTCCCTTTGCTTTTATAACTTCCCGAAACCTAATTTGCAAAACATACCCGAAACACTTTAAGCATGCTTTAGATTGAAGCTTATAATAGAAACCTTGCCTAATGGTTATTTTTTTGTCATCTCTTAGGCTGAGTTGGACCTTAAGAGGCTACGTGACCCCCTGCAGCTACATCTTCCAATCCAACAAATTGAGGATGCTAAGGATTGATCGTTGTACAACTCTTAAATCCCCAGCAAAACCTGTGGATATCTCTTGCCTTTGAAATAAAAGCATTATAGGTGGTAGCTGGGATATGATAATGGGATGGGTGATCATTTTCCCCCTTTTTTTTTTTTTTCTCCCTAGATTTTTAAAGCTTTTGTTAAAGAAAAATGTAAAATGAAAGATTAAAAATGAAATTTAATTGAAGGTTGGGGCCTTGACCTTGCTAAAAGCCTATTTCAAAGGGCTTGGGAAATTTCTTATTGAAACTATATATATTTTACATGTTGGTGAATGGTGAAATTTATGGACTAGGGTCCCAAAACAATTAAATGTTCATTTTATTTTATTTTTTGGTTCTCCTGGTTTTATGACAAGTTAAAGTGTGGCAGAGTGCCAATTTAAAACAAAAAGATGGATTAATAATCTGCTGAGCCAATGGAGGTACGCCAGTAACATTGCGCACAATTTAATGCCATTTGGAGGGGCGTTGGACCAGAAGTCACTGCAGCATAACGCTTTTCTCCACTCTTGGGAAGCATCTATCGAGGCTTGGTTGAGATTTTTCTTGCCTTTTTCTGATGAACTCCGGGTTCATGCACATGCCATGTTGAGGTGCAACACTGTTAAATTTTAATCCAAGTCCCAAACACGTGAGACTTTCTGCTATGCATTAAAAAAAAAAAAAAAAGAGAAAAAAAATCGCACGTGATTTTTCTTGTAATCACTTTCTTAAATGTCCCTCGTCCCTATTCCTCCCACAGCCTTGGCTATATATATTTCAGGGGCTCAATGCATGATTGATTTTTATGTCTGTTCTTTTTGGGAGGGAGATGTTCCCCTGTCCCGCACTCTTGGGAAGTGGCTTAATAGCATATCAGGGTTGCATGAAAAATTCAAAAGGGTTACCACCTCATTCTCTCATGACGATCATCAGATATAGTCATAAAGATTTACATTTTCCAGCTGGTCTTCTGCTGGTGGAAATACAACTTCTTTCTGGATGAAAACACTTAACCCGTCCAGCTTTGTCTACGTTTTATTTATCTACATATCACTGAAGAGCTGGAGAGTGGCAAAGGCCGAGATATAACCTCTATCTTTGTTCCAAAGATTTCAGGGGGTTTTCTCTCCTTTTTTTTTTCGTGTTTTTTTTATCTTGGAATACGCTGCTCTTCCACAGACTTTCAATATCAAAATGGTGCAGTTTCTTTTTTGGGGGGAGGGGGGGGGGATGAAACTGGGCAAATGAGGGAGTGTTTGGGCTACAAGTTTGCAGAGACATTTTTTAAAGGACTCCCACTGTGAAAGGCTCCTACTTCAGGGATAGGATTACAGAACTAAAGAAGTGAAGCCAGTTGACTGGTGCCTTGCATATAATGAAATCGAGAGGAGAGTTTATGTTCTCTTCATGTATTAATCTATAGCTGGCAGTTATGCTACCAAGGACTCCTTGCCAGCCTAAATCTTGAGTCCACGTGGAATATAGCTGGCACATGCTGCCATACAAAGTCTTAATAACTGTCACCTACTTCTCTCCTCTCAGGTGGATTGAATCCGTTTTCCATCATGTACTTGTTTGTTGTCTTCTATGTCTTGTATTTTGTTCAAGATTGTAGATCCGTGCAGAACATAGGCCTCAAAGCACAGGCAATAATACATTTATTGGTGGTAATGCATCATCTTCATTACCTTTCTTTCTGGTGGGATCCAATGCCTTTCTCTGTATTTTCAAGCTGTGCCCTAGAATTAATGCTAATGAATGAAGCAAGGGTGGCTAATGTGATATAAGCAAGATTGACAATCATCTCCATGGAGAGAGACCCCAATTAAGAGTACAAGAGTTTCAAAAGTAGTTCTTAGGAATCCTTGTTAATAGCAGAGCAGCTTAAATGACAAGGTACTCAAATGTTCATGACCAAAGTATAGTATAATAACCCTTTGCCTATGATTCTGCTTGGATTACTGTGATCTTGCACAGGAGATGGTCTTTTTAACACTAATTCAACTTAAAGCTCTTCTTTTTACCATTTGCACTTCTGCTGCTGATGGGGGTAGGAGCAGTTGCCTATTGGGGCCCTCCTGCAACAAATGGGTCTAATCATGTTTGTATTGAGTATATCGAAGCAGTAAAAACACAGGAATTGTCTCAAACGGTCTGCTGAGTGTGAGTGCGCGGGGAGGTTTGGAGCATGGAGGAATGTCCTATAAATAAGCAAAATATAGATGTGTAAAATCCTGTATCATTTATGAAATATGTATAAAAGAAACATGTAATTCTGCAACAATAAACACTTATTCTGTTTTTCAAGTAAATTTGTATGTATGTGTTTCTGTTTCTGCATTAATTTAAGGCTAAACAATGAGCAAAACAATTACATACCTGTATGTCCTGGCTGTAGATTTGAAGTTGCACCTATAAGCGTTAACTTGTTGGAAGGAGAAAATACTTCACATTACTCTGTGATGATTTAATATATAAAAGAATTGATCAGGGAAACCTAATGTGCCAGCTTGCTGTATGGCTAATATCAATGATGACCTAAAATTACCTTGTAATAATTGAATATTAAAGAATTGCAGAGAACTATGAGCTATATACATTAGTTCCATGCCCTGGCCAAGCTCAAGGTCTCCTACTCTTACTGAGATATAAGCGCTAGTTTACCAGGTGTTATGGTATTGGTCTACAAGAAGAAATCAAAATGCAATTGTTCATGATTGGGTAAGTTGCAATCCAATGAAACAGTAAGATTTGTTTTGTTTTACTACATTTATGTACTTTGAAATTTTAGATGGCTCTTAAAGTAAAACTGTCCTGACATAAATATTGGGACTTGCCACTTCTGACCTCCTCCTACTAAAAATGCTAGTTGCCCAATTGTTCTGCTGATCACCTGGCATCAATACTGACGCTGAACAAGGATGCACATCAGGAATTTCTGAGCAGATATAGAAGCCCTTATCTTGTCATAGGTCCTGAACTCCAGCACGTTTCAACAAGAGTCATACAGTAACAACCAGGCAACTCCACATTTTCATAAAGAGAAGTCAGTCTTGGCAGGCTCCATGTTTCTCTCATGACAGGTCTACTTTAAGCTTTAACAATGTCCTAATCTGACTATTCACATCAGGTACATTATGTAATAGTTTTTTGATATTTGGAACAGTCAAAAATCACTGTTTGAAGCTGGTGTTCTTCTGAAATTTGGTCACATAATTTATTTACTCGTCTTGTTGAGGTTAATATTTGGTATTTGTGTACAAGTTTGTCTTGAGATTTTGTCATCTTTGTATGTTTAACCCCTTCATGACTGAGCTTGTTTTTGGTTTCTGTTCGTAAATGACTGACACACTTTTGACACTTTTGCTGTGTTATTCTTCCACGTCAGTAATATACTTTCATACAAAGTGCACCCACACATATTATATATTGTTTTTTAGAGGACAGATAGGGCGATCTAGTTATATCACATATGTGTACCTAACCCCTCACTTAGGACAAATAAAATATAAAAAAAGAGGAAAAAACGTAAAAAAAACAAAATTTTCCCAGTTTTGATTTGTAGTATTTTTTTTTTAACAAAACCAGCACATGTAAAAAAAAAAATGCAATACATACATTCATTTATTTGTCCCTTATTTTTTTACACTTCACTTTTTTTTAAACTTAAAAATTTTATTTTATTTATTTAATTATATCCAGCAGTCATTGTGAATATAACTCACTATTACTGCTTGATAAATTAATACATTTTTGGTTATCATCAGGCTGCTTCAAACTTCAGAACAGCCGATAATAAGTTAGTGACACTGATCCTGCAGCAGTTCAGGATTCAGCTGTCACTGAATGTTTCAGAAAACTGAAACATTCTACTTTCAAGAATAGATACATTATGTGTCTATTCCTGAAAGTCAAAGATAAAAAAAAAAAGCCAGTATAGCTTGAAAGTGGGGCACCGTGGATGGCGCTTGTGCACAACATGTTTTGTGTGCAAACCTCGTAGTTTTGAGGAAACCGGAAGTCATGCGGTCCCACAACTTGATAAGTTCGCACTTTCGATACATCACCGGCAAAAGCCGGCATGTGTGTCCGCTCTGCTGTGACTCTCAGGCACCCGATATTAAGGTATCGGGTGTCTGAAAAAGGTTAACCCTTTCATTAATGGATGCCTAGATAGTTAGACATCCATTACTGAATGGTAACCACTGATTCTCAGCGGTTACCAGCCTTCTAGTGCAGCAAATAACTTGTCACGTACAGTGTACGTGACGAGTCATTTGGTCCCTTTGTGGCGGGACGTACAGTGTACGTCTCCCATCACGAAGGGGTTAAATGCATCAGCTTATTCTGTAAGCAGGAGGAAAGACACCAGTTATATTGCCCATTCTCATCAAACAGGTTCCAGTAAAAATCTGCCACCTCATTGGTTAAGTATGGTTACACGCTCTGTTCCTCCAAGGAATTCAAGAGTTTAAACACTATTTATCAACAGCCACCTGCTGAAATATTAATACTTGGCAATGCAGCCGTGGTTACCTGGTCTAGCCGACTGTCGTTGTGTTTATAATGCTTTTCTTTTGACTTACTACATTAGCATGAATTGGCTTTGGATATGTATATGTAAAGGTTAGGCAGCCTCATCGTTGGCACATTTCATACAGGAATATTGGATAAACCCTGTTCCATCACCAGGATTTACTGATAGGTACAGGAACTCAATGCATAAGTCAATTAGAAGTTGTGCTGCAGACAATAGACACAATTGCCCAATGGGCATTTATGTGATCTATAACTTCATTTTGCTGCATAGCGAAGTCAGAATTATGGCTCCTCTTGCTAGAAATAATTGAAAAAGCTCTTTTAAGTAACGTGAAAAAATATTAATGTTTTCCAATATGACTTGTTTTCTGCAGTATTACATATGTGCAATATTTTAAAGAGCAATTCCAGGCAAGAATGGAATGTATTGGCTGCATAAACCTTGCTTTGCTGACTAAAAATGTCATTCAGTCTATTTTGCATCTGAGGGGTTTTTTTGCAATATATTGCTGCCGGAGTCCAGAAGGGTCCCCGCAATGTTACTGGGAGTGCATTTCCTGTTTTGTAACTTCCTTTATCTCTGCTTCCTGTATCACCAACCACATTCAAGCTTCCAAGAAAGGTCTGATCGTTGGTTGTGGGAAGCTTATCACTGAGAAATAAAGAGCTTGGAGTGGGTGTATTTGTGAATACCTCACCTGCTTTATAAGAAGGGGTTTTCAGATTACTGGCAAAATGGAATGGAGCGGCCTAGTCCATTACAGCAATTGTGGATGAAAAAATGTACAGAGGTTGTATGGGTTGCATTTTAAATTTGAACTGTTGTGTACCTTAACCAGTTCCACTCTCGTACCTGTATACCCCTTATGGGCCAGAGCAATTTTTACAAAGTTATTGCTGAATTGACAGGCCTGTAGTGGAAAAGTAGTTACTTAAGATAACAACCTAATACATGCAAGTTGTTTTGTTTTCTATGCAATCTATAGACAAAAACAAGTAACAGACCAGTGTTGGTTATAAAGCAGCTACTGTTAGTGTAGATAAATTTTACCCCTTTGATCTGCAGATGAATGGAACGGTAAATACAATGTAGCAATAATGTTACATTGTATTTCTGAATGGTGTTCAAAACTCTATTCAGAAGCTTTGTTTTTTGCCGACAGTAGCTGCAGCTTTGTTGCTGCTGTGTTACTGAGCAAGACAGCCAAGATTTGCTGGCAAGAGCAGTGAAGGTAGCAACGACAAGGGGGAGAGGGACAAGGGAGAGTGATCTATCCCCGGTGTACTGTGTTTAAAAACATTTATGGATGAACATACAACATAACCCCTTAAACCTTTAACAATATGAGTTAGTGTATTTTGATGAGTTCCTATATGCGGAGATCACGTCTGTTTTGTTTTTGTAGCATTGCAGGGGGGGGGGGACTCTTTTTAATGTGTTTTTCATGTGAATAACATTGCCATGCTTTGTTCCAGAATTATTTTTGTCTTTGAATTCGGAGGGTAAGCCAGAGTGATAGGGGTGGTCCTGCTGGAGACATAAAGGGGTCTTGAGAGTGGGGAATTTACCCCTCACAGCACTACTGATCGTATACTGGATCTTTCTAGTGCCCTGGCCTCCAAAAGAAGTCTGTATATCTCTTTTCCTGAATAACTAAATGTGCCGAGCTACAACAATGAGCAGTACAAAAAAAAAATCAGTGACTCAAACAAATGTCCGTGAATAAAAAAATGGATCAGGTGTGAAGTCTATAAATGTTCCTATCTCTGAAAATGTCCATATATAGCAAATGTGATGAATATTTCTTGTTCCTTCACCAAATGCACCACACCAGATATAGGGGTGCTCACCTTAGGCCCCAACAAAAGGTCAAATCAGGCAATTCCCTTCTTAACCAGGGAATCGCTCACAGATGTCTTCCAATGATGTAATCAGACCAGCAGGCAGATCTGTGAATCACTTCTTTAGTGGAGAAACAATAACCTCCTCCAATCTTTATCGAACTGTAGGCCTCCTCCGTATAGATTATTTATAAACGTACAGCGCTAACCGTCCTTCAGATGTAAATATAAGAATCCAGACGTTGCGATCAGGATTATACAAGTGCTATTAAAATTAATAATTAATGATTAGTAAAACATTCAGTAAAAGGGTGTATCTCAAAATCTTCAAGGTGAATCAATTGTGTGAACAAATAAAGTACATAAAATATCAAAACAAACAATGTATATATTTATAATAAAATGTGAATATTTCTATATTAAAAAACGTGATAAGCTGTGAATATATATCATGTGTAAGTGATTCTTGTTAATAGTGAATGGACAAACAATGTGTACCACTTAAAACATGAAACAAAAAAGAAAATAAACTTTTTTCGATGTGTTTGTGAATGGTCCAAATCTTTTGTATTTTTCTTTGTAGTTTTTTTGTGTATAGTCTTTAGAAATCCATAAATATAAAATACTTCGACAGTGAAAAGTCAGTGTAAAAAAATGTGTCCAACGAAAATCCAAAAAACGAGGAAAAAATAATAAGGAAAAAATGAAGAAAAAATAAAGACAAAAGTAAAAATAAAACAAACTAT